AGTCTGGGATTGCCTGTTGATATGCAGCCCCAGCCCTTTCTTGAGTCCTTAAAACTCTTTTATTTGCCAGTGAACCCCCAAGGTAACTGTGGAAAGAAAGAGCTGTCCTGATTTCCCCTGGCCATAAGAGCAGCCAGGCTGCTCAGATTCCCTGCTCCTGCCTTTGTAGGGTCACAGCTGTCCCTCCTCTCAGAGATCCCAGCCCTGAAGCTCCATATGAATGCCCAGGCACCCCTGGCACACAGAGTGAACAAACCATGGGATAACAGTGCCAGACCCTGGGGAGCCCATGGAAGGGCCAGGGCTGCCTTCCAGCCGAGGTGCAGGTACTCCAAACCCCATCCAGGGAACTGTAAATATTTGGGATGGATGGTGAATCTCAAGGCAATAAATTCAGCTGCTGTTTGCTTAGGAAATCCTCCTGCTTTAAACAAATAATGATTCAGCTGGGCTCAAATGACTTGTCAAAAACACGTGTAGTACAGTGCAGGGAAAGGAATTGGTTCCAGCAGTTGCTCCAAGTCCTGTCCATGCTGGCCTTGGACACTTCCAGGGATGGGGTATCCATAACTTATCTGGGCAACCTGTGCCAAGGCCTCACCACCCTCACAGCCAGGAACTTCTCCCCAGTTCCTAAACAGAATCATATCATAGAATATGGACAAGCATCCATGGCTTGTGCCCAGCTGTGGAACAAACCCCACCTGGGGGACCCCTGTCCTGGGATGTCCATGGAAACCTCTCCTGAAACCCCACTCACTGGCCTTCGGAGAGGTGGCCAGGACAAGTCCCTGGATGGATGGAGGGATGGATGGATGCTATCCTGGATGGATAACCCAGTGCACAACATCCTGTTTGTCTCTGAACCTCAAACTCTGCCACCAAGGTGCCTTGAGCCATCTGTGAGGAGACAAATGTCTCGGTCTCCATCACTTCAGGGTTAGAAAAAACCAAAATTAAACTTCACTTTTCACCAAAAATATCCATTGTTCTGAATTTTACTGCTTGTTTTCTGAAATTCCCCTCTCCTATTCCCCTGTTTCTCCTGTTTTCCCTCCCCTCTCCCATCCCTGCAAGTGTCCAAGGCCAGGTTGGACGGGGCTTGGAGCAACCTGGGCTGGTGGAAGGTGTCCCTGCCCATGGCAGGGGTGGCACTGGATGATCTTTATGGTTCCTCCCAATCCAAACCAGTCTGGGATTCCATATTTCACCTGAAGTTGTCCTATTTTGTGCTGGATGAATTCCTGAAGCACAGGAACAGGACACCAAAGGGACAGACACAGAAGGAGCAATCACTTCATCTTGCTCAGATCATAATTGCACCACACTCCCTGCACCTGGCTTAATTACAGAGCTGGAGTGGTCAGACCTGTTTGCCTTAGGAAAGGGCATGCCTGGAGTCTGGCAGCAGAACCCAGGAGCCTCTGGATCCACATGGAAATGGGCCAGGATGGAAAACTGCTGCTGGCTGAACCTCTGCCACGAGCCACAGGAGACACCAGAGTAGAAACTCTGCAGCCCTGGGGTGGGAAAGGCTTCCCCCAGCAGCAGGACACCCTGTGTCCCTGTGCTGCAATCCCAATCCCCAGGGACAATGCAGGACACCCTGTGTGTGTCCCTGTGCTCCAATCCCAATCCCCAGGGACAATGCAGGACACCCTGTGTGTGTCCCTGTGCTCCAATCCCAATCCCCAGGGACAATGCAGGACACCCTGTGTGTGTCCCTGTGCTCCAATCCCAATCCCCAGGGACAATGCAGGACACCCTGTGTCTGTGTGCTGTAATCCCAATCCCCAGGGATTGCAGCTCCTGCAGCCCAAAAGGTCACCCAGCCCTTCCCGAGGCTGCTGGTGGCTGGTGAAAGGAGTTTTGCAATCCCTTCCTGAAGGAACTGCTCTAGGTAAACAGCCTCGAGCTGTGACTGGAGACCAAGCCACTCAGGTGACCAGAAACCAGGAAATTTTACCTTCTAGAAAGGGTTAAATCTCTACTTCAGCTGCAGATTTCAGGTGTATTTCCCCTGAAATACACACACCTGATCCACACAGAGCCACAGAATCCCACACTGCTCTGGACTGGGAGGGACCTCAAAGCCCACCCAGTGCCACCCCTGCCATGGGCAGGGACACCTTCCACCAGCCCAGGGTGCTCCAAGCTGGCCTGGAACACTTCCAGGCCCAGGGCTCCCAAGTCTGTCCCAGCCCAGGCTGTTCCAGCCTGACCAGGACACTGGGACAGGTCACTGCACACTTTCATCCCCGTGACCCAGGGAGGCTCATTCCAGAGCCAAGGGAGCCAGGGCGGAACGAACAGCTCCAGCAGGGAGAACAGCCATTAATCTCAACCCATTACAAGCCATTCACTTGGCCATTTACAGGGCACCAGCAACTGCCAGGGAAATTCCACCCCACAGGAGTCGCTGGGCTGGAGCTGCTGTTGGACAGGGCTTGGAGCACCCTGGGCTGGTGGAAGGTGTCCCTGCCCATGGCAGGGGTGGCACTGGATGGGCTTTGAGGTCCCTTCCCACCCACACCAGTCTGGGATTCTTTAATTGATGCTTAAAAAGCCACTTAAAGAACAGAGGAAGCACCAAGTGGTGTTTTCAGCAGTACAAACTCCAGCCCTCAGCAACCCCAGCTCAGGGAGTTCCTGGGCCATTTCACCCCATTTGCACCCTGTCACCCTCATTTTACACCTCCTGCACTGGGGACACACGACAAGTAAAAGGGGAAGAGGAATTCTGTGTAGGGAGAACTCAAATCATGCACAGGCAGCACAGCCTGCCCTAAAATCCCCCTTGCCTGCACAGAGCTGGGCCCCGAGCACCTCCCCAGAGCACCCAACGCCCATGGGAAAGCAATGACAGGGAGGGAGGGAGACAAAAGCACCTTGAACTGGGAGCAGACAAGAGCCAAAGGGAAGGGATGCAAAGGGAGCACCTTGAGCACATCCAGATAGGCATCAGAGGGCTTGAGATCCAACTGAGCCTGGAATGAGCTTCAAAGGAGCTGCTCGTGTCAGCCATCCTGAACCCAGCCTGCTGCTCCCTCCCTGCTCCAGAGGCAGCTCATCCACAGCCTGAGTCACTGACAGAGCCCCAGGATACCCAGGAATGGCAGCAGCTCCCCTGGGAACAGGCAGGGCCGCTGCTCTCCAGCCCCTCAAACCCCCCCATCAGCACCACAGGAAGGACAGACGGGAAGGTTTCACCCTACAGACACAGGAGATCCCAGCAAGAAGGTAGGTCTGCACCCCTGGGAGCAGCTCCCAGAGATGGGAATGCCAGCCCAGGATGCCTCTGAGCTGCAGAGCTGCTCCCACAAATCCAGAGACAACCTGCTCCTGTTCCAGGGAGCCGCACCGGGACGATTTCCCGGGTGAGGCAGTTTGGGTCACCCAGGCCTGTTTCATCCGAGCAGACACAGATCCCTGGGATCGACAGCCCCAGCACCTGATGACCTGGGGGGTCTTTTCCAACCTCCAAGATGCCATGCCCTGGAACCGGGGTACTCACGGAGGGGGGGCCCGAAGAGCACCGTGTCCAGGGCCTTGAGCTGCAGCTTCTGCCGGTGGCTGCGGTCGGTCATCTTGAGCACAGTGCCCATCATGGTGGCATTGTTCACTGCCAGCCTGCGGGGAGAGCAGAGCAGCACTCACTGGGGTTCACAGCGGACCAGGAGCAGGCACAGGGACACCAGGGGAGCAGGACATGAGAGCTCCCTGCTATCAGCACAAAGGAAATCCCTCAGTGTTGGTGTCTCTGACCCAGGGTGTCTCTAGGACAAGGTTTACAGCAGCATCTTTGGGAATGGAGAGAGCAAGGAAAACCAAGGCCAAGCCTATTTCATTAATCTTGACAGCCTGAGGGACTGATTTCCCACCAAAACCCATCTTCTGGTGTCCTACCAATCAGTAATAGTTGTTTTTTCACCAAGTCTCCACTGCCTTTGCCATCCTGTGTCACACACCACAAACTACACTTCTCACTCAGAAGAAGTGTGGACACACCATGTGCTGCCTCAAAAACCTCCTTGTTTTATTCCCAGTTAACTGGGATTTATTCTCAGTTAATCCCTCCTCCCCAGTCAGTTTAAAAGCCCCTTTTTCAGTGACAAGAACCTTTCCCAGAAAGCTGCACTGAGGTTTTTCAAAACTGTTGCAAGTTTAGGCCAACTCACAGCCAGTGTTTCTCTTATCCTGGCATTATGGAATGATTTGGGTTGGAAGAGACCTTAAAGCCCACCCAGTGCCACCCCCTGCCATGGGCAGGGACACCTTCCACCAGCCCAGGTTGCTCCAAGCCCCGTCCAATCTGGCCTTGGACACTTTTGGGATCCAGGGGCAGCCACAGCTTCTCTGGGAAACCTGGGCCAGGGCCTCCCCACCCTCACAGGGGAGAATTTCTTCCCAATATCTAACCCAGATTTCTCTCAAAAATGGAGCAGAACAGGAATGAGACTTTGCTCTGCCCATGCCAAGGAATTACATGTGAAGTCAGGAGCTGCCTGGGATGTGTTTTGCCCCTGGCACACGTCCCAGAGGCTCCCGGGGACACGGAGGGCACTGACCTGGGCATGGCGTGGCCGCTCAGCTGCAGCTTTCGGAAGGTCTCCTCGTACTGGGGCAGCTCCACGTAGGTGATGAGCCACTGAACCACCTCGTCCACCGTCCAGTTATACACTGAGGAGAGGCACAGGCAGGCAAACAGCTTATCAGGGGTCCTCAGCCCCCAAAATCACCCACCAGCAACAGCAGAGCTTCACCACACACTCCCCAACCCGCCACCCTCTGCGAGGGAAAAATCCCTGCAGAGTTCACAGACAACCCCCTGCAGTGAGGAAGGATCCCCTGGGATCACAGAACCATGGAATGACACAATGGTTTGGGTTGGGAGGGATCTTAGAGCCAGCCCCTGCCATGGGCAAGGACACCTTTCTCCAGCCTAGGTTGCTCCAAGCCCCGTCCAACCTGGCCTGGGGCACATCATGCAACACATGTTTTTTTAGGACAGAGGGGCCTTTTTAATAATTTATCAACCTCTGTCCTTGCTCAGACAGGCTGAGCTCCTGCAGCACCTTCCCAGGCTGCAGCAAGGCTGGGCTGGGAATCCCCTCCTGCTGACAGTCAGCTCCTCACACGCCCTGACATCCCCCATCCATCTCCTTCACACCCTCTCCAGCAGCCAAGGCAGGAAAAGGCCCATTTCCTCTGGCTCCCAGGGCAGCAGAGCTCCAGGGCCTCTGCCCAAATGTCAACAGTGACTTGGCCCACAAGTATGAGAAACATCTCCCTGCCAGCTCCAGAGAGCCCAACGCCTCCGACTGGGAGCTCAGGGAGTGGGAGAGAGGAGAGGGAGAGGTGAGGGAGCTGGGAGAGATGTGAGGGATATGAGGGAGATGTGAGGGAGATGAGGGAGCTGGGAGAGATGTGAGAGCTGAGGGAGCTGGGGGAGATGTGAGAGAGCTGAGGGATGAAGGAGATGAGGAAGCTGAGAGAGTTGGGAGAGAGGAGAGAGCTGAGGGAGCTGGGAGAGATGTGAGGGAGAGCTGAGGGAGCTGGGGGAGAGGAGGGAGAGCTGAGGGAGCTGGGAGAGATGTGAGGGAGCTGGGAGGGAAAGCTGAGGGATGAAGGAGCTGAGGAAGCTGAGGGAGCTGGGAGAGATGACAGACTGAGCCCAGCACTGAGCAAAGACAGCAAGGCTCCAAAGGAAGGTGCCATCCCCAGAGGTGTTTATCTTGGGAAGAAATCCCTGAGAACCAAGCTGGAAGCATGCACACTTGCCAAGATGAGCAGGTCCCTGCCCTGCCAAAAAGGGCTGATCTGGTACTTCTGTGGCTCACCCAGGGCTTCATCTGTCAGATACAACACTTGTAAGAGCATCACAGCCTTTATATTTTTTGATCATTAAGGGGCAGAAATAACTTTTTATTTTCCACAGGTGCCCAGGAACAAGATCAATGGAAGGGAGGAAAAGCAAAGGCTTGGAAACAGCTGCAATGAGCACAGCTGCCCTGTCCCTTCACAGCACCTTCTCACACCCACAGGGAGGAGCAGACCTTTCCTACAAGCCTGATTCCGGTTTTATGACTGAAGTTCAAGCTCCAAGATTAGGCTGGATATATCCCTGGAAGTGTTCCAGGCCAGGCTGGATGGGGCTTGGAGCAACCTGGTCTAGTGGAGGGGGTGGCCTATGGCAGGGGGTGGAACAGGAAGGGCTTTAAGGTCTCTTCCAACCCAAACCTTCTGTGATTCCAGGATATCAAACCATCCTTTGGATATTTATTTTATCAGCCAGACCTACGGGATGATGAATGGGAAAACAAGAGCAGGAACTAAGCCCAGCCCTGGGAAACTGTGATGCCAGAGCAGCCCTGCCAAGGCCGTGGCAGGTCCGTGTGTGCCAGGAGCAGGGAGAGCAGAGCAGCTCAGCAATTAAGGGACCTGGGGAGCATCGTGGGATGTTCTCCTCCATCCCTTAATGATTTCTGCCCTCTGCCAGCCGACACTAAAATACACTCCAGGCAAAGCCCTGTGTAAACAGCCGGGTAATGGGATAAATATTCCTTACAGGAGGTGTTCCTGGGACACAGAGGACACGGCGGCCCAGGGGAGCTGTGGGGTCACAGGGTCCTGGAGGGGGAAAAGCCCTCAGAGAGCACCGAGTCCAACCATCCCCCAGCACTGCCGAGGCCACCACTCACCCACATCCCCAGGTGCCACATCCCCAGGGCTGTTACACCCCCCAGGGATTTCCACCACCTCCCCAGGGATGAATGACACCATTTGGGAACAGCCTGAAGTCATTTCCACGTGGACTGGACTTAGGACACTTCCACTTCCAGGACTTTATTCTGCTTTCCCTTCACTATAGGAAGGAGCTTTTCAGGTTCAGAAAATTTCTGCGAAGGAAAACACGACCTGCAGGAAAACACAACCTGCAGGAGAACTCCCACGCAGCTCCACTGAATATTTAGGGTGTAATTATTCCATTAACATTCCAGCTGAAACTGGGAGCTTAACAGAGAACCTGGAACTGGACAGCATTTGGCCCTATTTCACACACATTTTAGGGTGGAGAAACAAAACAATTTCTACTTTTGTGGCCATGCTCAGGTGCAGCATTAAGAGTCTGCAAGTGAGAAAATCCTGAAAATCCACCCCAAAAAAAAAAAAAGCCAGGAGAGCACTGGTGCAGGGCAGGAAGAGCAGCAGCACATTCCTTCTGGAAGCTCTTCCGAGAGTATCCAAAATCCAAACTCTTTGGCCCTGTTGGAAAAGGGTTTCTTTGCTTGTTTGCCTTTTTTTACCTTCAGATGTTTTCCAGGCCTTCCAAAGATCTTCCACACTGATGAGCTTGTCCTCTCCATGGAAGGTGCTGTGCTTGACTGCTGGGTCGTGGTAATTCAAGTCCTCCCTCAAGAACTAGGAGAGGAATAAACAGCAGGATTAGGCTTTGGTTCATCTTGTAGAGGCATGAGGAGCATTAAAAAAATCTTAAGAAGAAGAAGAAGAAGAAAAAGAAGAAGGGAAATCCCAATGAATAAATATAAAGTATTATTATATATGTAAGCTATTATATAAATATATTATAATAATAGACATAAACTTGTACTTCTCTCTAATAAAATCATTAGTCAAATATTTTTAGCTGCTGGCCTAAACTGACAAACCAAACTGGGTATGAACATTCCCTGCAGTACCCTTGGAGATTTCAGTTCCTGGGAAGACCAGCTAGGAAATATTCAGTAAATACGTTCAATTAATTTTAATACAGAGTAGGCATAATAAATAATTATAACCTCATTTTCTGGGATTCCAGACTTTTCTTTGAATTATACTCTCACCAAAAATTCACCTAAGTAGCACAAGGGAACCAGCTTTATGTCACTGGAATAAGAATTCAAACCATCATTACTGGGTTTGACCTGCACCTTTCAAAGCCAAGCTGGAACAAATGTTCCAGCAGGGAAGGAGGGAATACCACTGAGAAATATGTATAAATAAATATATCCCAGTTGTGGCTGCCCCTGGATCCCTGGAAGTGCCCAAGGCCAGGTTGGATGGGGCTTGGAGCACCCTGGGCTGGTGGAAGGTGTCCCTGCCCATGGCAGGGGTGGCACTGGATGGGCTTTGAGGTCCCTTCCCACCCAAAGCAGTCTGTGAAATCACCACCAGCAGGAGAACCACTCACACTGCAGTGCCCAACAGGTGGAACCAAATGAAGGGATAACTTCCCATTCCCAGGATAACTTCCCATTCCCATCCCTCCCACGTCACCCAGGGCACGACCCTTTGCCCCCGGGCCCCTCTGTGTGCAGTGGGATCCCACCCACAGGAGAGTCCTCTGAGATCTGCAGCTCTAACATCAGACAGGGCCAGGACCAGCTCCAGGACAGCTTCAACATTCCAGGCTCCTGCAAATCCACTGCAGGTGCTGCCCAAGGTCCTGTCAGCTCCGGCCTGGGGCCCCTCTGCTCCCCTGCCTTTGGCTGCCCAGAGCCGGGGCAGGAACATGGACAGTGGGAACGTTTGGGAAGAGGGCCCTTCCAGCAGGGCAGCCCCTGCCCCTGGGGTCCCCTCCCGGTGGGTCCCTCGTGACTGCAGCAATGTCACCGTGTCACCGTCACCGTGTCACCGCCGCAGCAGGATCAGCTGCTGGAGCAGGATCAGCTGCTGGAGCGGGATCAGCTGCTGGAGCAGGATCAGCTGCTGCTCGGTATATTTAGCTCGGGGAGCACAGAAAGGAAAAGTGATCCCTTCAGCTTCCCTTCGGAGCACGGTCCCAAAACAAACTCCCAGGGGACGGAGCTGGGGGTGGGGAGAACATCCAGAAAACGGGTGGGAAGGAGGGTGCAGGATGGGGATGGAGCTGCCTGAGGGGCTGCAGGAGCTGGGCTGCTCCCACCAAAGCCCAAGGAGACCTCAAAGCAGATTTTCCATGTGTGCCTTCTGGGGGAAAGAATTCCAGAATGGTTTGGGTTGGGAGGGACCTTCAAGACCACCCAGTTCCACCCCTGCCATGGGCAGGGACACCTTCCAGAGACACCTTCCACTATCCCAGGTTGCTCCAAGACACCCAGATGTTCCAAACCCCAGGCACGAGAACCACTGCACGAAATCCTGACCTGCCTGCAAACCACTAAAAAGCAGCACTTTCAAAGATCCCACTGATCCCAGCCCTGGAGACACCCAAAATTCCGAGTCCCGGGAAGGGATTGGACCTATCCAAGCTCCCACATGGACCATCTCCAGAGATCCTCTGGAAACCACCCCCAGCCTTGGCAGGGCTGCAAATCTGCAAGAACAGAAGGAAACTGAGCCAACCCCAAGTCTCCCACCAAGCACAGGGAACGACAAACCACGGGCAGAGCAGCCAAAAGCAACGGGAACAGCACCACAGCTACAAAACACAACGTGGATGAGCCGAGATCCCAGCGGGAAGGCTCGGCTTGGGAATGCTGCTGCTGATGCTCTGGGGCCTCCAGCATCAGGAAGGCGTGGAGATGCTGGAGGGAGTCCAGAGGAGGCCATGGAGATGCTCCAAGGGCTGGAGCCCCTCTGCTCTGGAGCCAGGCTGGGAGAGCTGGGGGGGTTCCCCTGGAGAAGAGAAGGCTCCAGGGAGAGCTGAGAGCCCCTGGCAGGGCCTGAAGGGGCTCCAGGAGAGCTGGAGAGGGACTGGGGACAGACATTTTGGCTGAAGGCACACTCAGAAATGCATGGATCCATGAAATGGGATTTTCTGGAGGGTTTTTTTCATAGAATCACAGAATATCCTGAGTTGGAAAGGACCCTCAAGGATCACCCAGTCCAACCCCTGGCCCTGCCCAGGACACCCCAACAATCCCTCCTGTCCCTGAGAGCGCTGTCCAATCTCTCCTTGAGCTCTGTCTTCTGTGTTTTTCTATCTGCAGAAACTGCAACTACTGAAATGATTTTTCAACCCTTCCCATCCCTCCCACGTCCCTGGATCCGTGCCCACCCTCCTCCCCAGCACCAGCTCCCGGCTGTGCCGGTGCCAGGGGCCGGAGCTGCCGTGTGCCGGCAGAGCTCCCTGTGCTCCCGGTTCCAACAGCTGTCCTGGGCCATCAATCCCACTGAAACACAGACAGCTCCTGCCCCCAGAGCCTCCTGCTGTCCAGGGAACCCGGGCTCTGCATCAGGGCTTGAGAGGAGTCAGGGCAGAACATCCGAGAGCCACTGGGAACCCGCATCCCAAAGAGCTGGAGCTGCCTTTGGAGTGAGCAGGAGGGCAGAGATAGATCCCTATTTAGAAGAGTTCCCCGAGAGGGAAAGTTCTTTCATTTATAATCGAGGCCAGTGATGTCACCTGAAACTTCATTGAAAATTCACTTCCCGAAAGGAAGACAGTAATGATGACTTATGGACGGTGTGAAAGTTGTGGGACAAAATTCCACCTAGAATTTGGATATTTTAAAACCACAGTTGTCTGTATCTCCACTTCTGCCCAGTCAGGGCTTTCAATCCAAACAAAGCACTCCCATAACTAAACCCCAAAGAGAAGGGGCCAAATTAATAAATGAAAATACAAAGTTCTCAACCAACCAGGGAGATGCCCATCCCTGGAAGTGTCCAAGGCCAGGTTGGACGAGGCTTGGGGCAACCTGGGCTAGTGGAAGGTGTCCCTGCCCATGGCAGGGGGTGGCACTGGATGAGTTTGAAGGTCCCTTCCAACTCAAACCATCTTAGGATTCCATGAACCCCATAAAAGGTTTCAATTTGAGCCTCCTGCATTCTTCCCAATAATCCCCCGGCAGCTGTCCCGCTGCACAGACACGGAGTTAAACCTGATTGCAGGGTCCATGTGGGGGGAGAGACATAACCTTGACAGGGAGAACCCGACAGGAGCCAGCTCAGGGAGGGAGACTCCTGAAATCCCTCACTCAGTGGCTGCAGAGCCCATTGACAGGGGAATTTAATGCAACTTTTATCAAAGTTTCAAGCTTAGCAGAGGTAAAGCAGCAACTTTAAAGCAGTATGGAATCACAGGGACATGGAATCACTGAGGCTGGATGTGACTCCAGCACTGCCCTGGGCAGCTGTGCCAGGCCTGGACAACTCTTTCCATGAACAATTTTCCCAGTATCCCATGGAGCCTCCCCTGGCACAGCCTGAGGCCGTTCCCTCTCCTCCTGTCCCTTGTTCCCTGGCAGCAGAGCCTGACCCCCCCCGGCTCCCCCCTCCTGTCAGGGGGTTGCAGAGCCAGAAGGTCCCCCCTGAGCCTCCTTTTCTCCAGGCTGAGCCCCCCCAGCTCCCTCAGCCCCTCCTGCTGCTCCAGCTCCTTCCCAGCCCCTCCTACAAGCAGAGGAGCTGCTGGAGCAGGATCAGCACTCCAGGGCTCAGCACTGCTGGGACCCAGCCCGAGGGGTTGGAAGAGTGGCTGTAACAGCACCAGGGCAGCGATTCTGGAGCCCTTTGGAAAAGCCCCTTTCACTGCTCACACCCTGGCAGTGCCCCTGTGCCCAGGCTCTGAGCAGGCACTCCTGGCAGGGTTGGTACCAGGAGCTCCACGACTCCGCCGAGGGCAAAACTGGCTCAGAGGGACAAAGAGTGCCAGCTGTGCCCAACCCTAAGAACAGGAGGCCTATTGCTAATTAATTTAGTGCCAGGGGAGCAGGACACAAGGAGTGAACTCCAAAGCTGCCCCAGGAGTCGGTGGGAGAGGCCAAGCTGCAGCTCCAGCAGAGCAGGGAACTGCCCCCAGGGAAAACACCTCATGGAGGAACCGCAACTGGAACCGCAACTGGAACCGCAACTGGGAGCTTCTCACTTGTTTTAATTGCTCTGTTAAGTGGGACTGAGGGAGAAGGAATGGCACTGCAGCTTGGGAACAGCCCCCCAGCTCCACCAGCTCCTGCCACACGAGGGCTGTGTCCCTGGGGAATGTCATCACTCCCAGGGGCCCTCGGGATGGCTGGATTTGCCCAACAAACTGAGCTGTGAGTTTGGAGGGAGATTTAACCTCCATGAGGATAAATTCTTTATGTGAGGAACTCCCAGTGCCTAAGGGGGCTCCAGGAGAGCTGGACAGGGACTGAGGACAAGGGATGGAGGGACAGGACACAGGGAATGGCTGCCCACTGCCAGAGGGAAGGGTTAGATGGGATATTGGGAAGGAATTCCTGGCTGGGAGGGTGGGGAGGCCCTGGCCCAGGTTGCCCAGAGAAGCTGTGGCTGCCCCTGGATGTGTCCAAGGCCAGGTTGGATGGGGCTTGGAGCCACCTGGAATAGTGGAAGGTGTCCCTGCCCATGGCAGGGGTGGCACTGGATGGGCTTTGAGGTCCCTCCCAACCCAAACCACTGTGGGATTCTGTGACCTGGGAGTGCAGAACTGCCTGTGAGTGGCAGCAGATCCCTTCCCCCACGTGCTTGCTTTCTGCTTCCAACACTTTCCTGTTTAGATG